TATATATAACTGACAATTCGGAAGCCAATCCTATTTAATTTTACTCACAATTTAAAAACTAGTTTTATTTATCAAATATTAACACATATACAGACACACAGACAGAAGCAGATCTTACAGCTTTCATAAATCTCATTTGTTGGCTTTTAAATAATTTTTTCCCCCCATTCTACTACCAGTCTTCCAATTATCTGTTTCATTGCCCTACTCAGTTGTTAGCTGGGCAACCCTCAATTCGCATTTTCAAAGGGATGGCTCTTAGATGAAACAAGGTAGAAAATTTATATCTCAAAGCACAGAGCTGAGATTTCAGGCCTAAATAATTAATTGTGTAATCATTTGCCCAAACCAAGGAAGGAAGTTGTTGGTAAAGGCCCGGCTAAGGCAAGATAGCCAGGAAGAGCACCTTAAACAAAGGTTAGATTTGTTTTGTAAATTCAAACCAATGGTAAGAGTTTCTAGTGACTCGGTTCTCCCTCTCTTCCTGGTGCACCGAGGCAGATGACACCCTTACAAATGGATATATATAGATTTTTTCTTTGAGACAAAGTCTCCCTCTGTCACCCAGGCTGGAGTGCAGTGGTGAGATCTCGGCTCACCGCAACCTTGCCTCCTGGGTTCAAGCGATTCTCCTACCTCAGCATCCTGAGTAGCTGGGACTACAGGCACGCACCACCATGCCCGGCTAATATTTTGTATTTTTAGTGGAGACTGAGTTTCACCATGTTAACCAGGATGGTCTTGATCTCCTTACCTCATGATCTGCCTGCCTCGGCCTCCCAAAGTGCTGGGATTACAGGTGTGAGCCACCGCGCCTGGCCAAGATTTTTTTTTATAAATGTAAATTTCTTTTACAAAAGAGTTTCAAAATAGCCAGCTAAATGCCAGAAACGTATGTCTTGAAGACTTATTTAGTTGAATAGGCAGTCTTTTTAACTTAACTACTACTGTTTCCTAGCTAAAATTATTGAGTTCAGGTTGAAGGCCATTAAGGAAAAGGACAAAAAAAGCATTCTTGGTGCCTAGACTCAGTATGAGAACTCTGAAAAAGCAGCAAGGCTACTTTACCTGAGGTCCTAACTTTTATAAACACTTTATCCAGGATAGCTTTCTTTTAGCCTTTAGTGTAGTATAATAACTAAGCCAAAAGGTTAGCAGATTTAATTTTTACCAATTCGTTGTTTAAGCTTTTTATTTGCCTTTTATAGTCTTTTTCCTTTCCTGTTTTTCTTTTTTTTTTTGAAACAGAGTCTCGCTCTGTTGTCCAGACTGTAGTGCAGTGGTGTGATCTCAGCTCACTGCAGCTTCTGCCTCCTAGGTTCAAGCCTCCCTCGTCCTTCAGCCTTTCGAGTAGCTGGGATCACAGGTGTGCACTACCATGCCTGGCTAATTTTTATATTTTTAGTATAGATCAGGGTTCACCATGTTGGCCAGGCTGGTCTTGAATTTCTGGCTTCAAGGGATCTGCCCACCATGGTCGCCCAGTGTGCTGGCATTACAGGCATGAGACACCATGCCTACTCTCTTTTTATAGTCTTTAAAAAGAGGCAGTAAAAATGTTGAAATCTTTTTTACAAAGTTCTGCACATCAATAGGCATCCTTAGATGAGACTAATTGAGGAGTCCTCACTTTCAAATGTATGGAATTACCTTTAGTAAGATTTTGCTATCTCTTTAAGTGTTTGCTGCTTCCAGGGCTTAATATTTATACATGTAGAGGTAGGCATAGCCAGAAGGTGCAGTACTCAGTTCTTCAGAAATTAAGGATCTCATCTATTTGGCTTTGGCTCTTAGATCACCTCGATCAGTTTAACCAATGATTTTTCCCTACCTCAGGGTGAAAGAAAAAGAAACAAATGGGGTAGAACACAAAAATTCCTGTGGATTTCCAAAAGCCAAAGCTTGCATCCCCGGCAGTATTGCCATTTAGTACTAGTTTCTGTCTGATCCAGTCAGACGTCTGAGGCCTCTAACTGAATCCAGACCAGTTAATGATTAGATCCAATTCTGTCCTGGACCCAGTCTAGTTTCTGTCACAACTTCCAAATTCAGTTCAGATAAAAAAAATTGCTGAAACTCAAATATCTCAAAACATACATCCATGGAGCTTTGGAACCCTAGAGAGAACTTACGCATAATCCCCATTCGCTGAGAGAGAGCAGTAGACACAATGGATCTTGTGGGTACCTCACTAGTAAATAAATGAATATGTATGTATTTATATATATATACTCTATATTATTTATAGTTCTGTGTGTGTCTCTCTATATGAAGATTCTTTACAATTTCTTCAATACTAAGCTAATACCACAGGGCTTGTTCTAGTTTTCTCACTTTCTGTATTTCTAACTCCATTCTCTGATGGAGAAATGCCTAGCTCCTATTATTTTTAATATATTTATTTATTTTTCATCGCTGCTCCTGTCACCAAAATCTCATCACCACTACTGCCCACATATTCCTATACAGATGCCCTCCTCACACCAACTTTGGCCCTGACACCCTGAGCCACAGTCCCTTCCCCTTCCATGTGGAAGCCTTTCTCAACCAACTGGGTTCTTTTTTTTTTTTTTCTCCTTTCTTTTTCTTTTTTTTTTTTTTTTTGAGACAGAGTCTCCCTCTGTCACCCAGGCTGGAGTACAATGGCATGGTCTCAGCTCACTGCAACCTCTGCTCTCTGGGTTCAAGCAACTCTCCTGCCTCATCTTCCCTAGTAGCTGGGATTACAGGTGTGCACTACCATGCCTGGCTAATTTTTGTATTTTTAATAGAGACGGGGTTTTGCCATATTGGCCAGGCTGGTCTCAAACTCCTGACCTCAAATGATCTGCCCGTCTTGGCCTCTTAAAATGTTGGGATTACAGGCGTGAGCCACTGCACCAGGCCCAACTGGGTTCTGACACCTTGTACCAGACCGACCTCCCTGTGTGGATACACCTCATACTGCTTGAGCTCTAAAAGCCTGTTCTAGGGTACTGTGGCTTCCCCTGCCTCCTACACAGATGCCTGCCTCACTCATTTCTTCCTCATGGCTTTTGGACAGAACTTTTTGGGAAAGGGAAGAGAAATCCCACCTCCCTCACTTACTTAAATTCTGCAATACTGTAAGGCCAAATCCTACCTCTTCTTGGAGTCTGTCTCCCACTTCTTAGGGAAATAATTTCTCCATTCTGGAAACTTACACTGTATTTTTATTTTGTTTTATTATTATTTATTATTATTATTATTTTTGAGATGAAGTCTTGCTCTTGTTGCCCTGGCTGGAGTGCAATGGCAAGATCTCGGCTGACTACAAGCTCCACCTCCCAGGTTCAAGCCATTTTCTTACCTCCGGAGTAGCTGGGACTACAGGCACCTGCCACCACGCCTGGCTAAGTTTTGTATCTTTTCTTTAGTAGAGGTGGGGTTTCACAATGTTGGCCAGGCTGGTGTCAAACTCCTGACCGCAGGCCATCCGCCCGCCTCGGCCTCCCAAAGTGCTGGGGTTACAGGCGTCAGCCACCACGCCCAGCTGACTTACACTCTATTTTTTTGTTCTCTAATCATCTCATGTCTGTTTGTACCTTCTGCTGACTCCATGTCATACTTTGCGATCAGGGGCTATTTTCTGTAATTTTTTTTCCCTTTAATAACTTTTAAAAGTTTTTTTTAAGTGATAAATGCAAAGGCAGATACAAAAAACCCTACTAGTTGAAATATGATGGTTTTTTTTGTTTCTAAATACAAAATTTAATCATTGAACTCTCCTTTATTATAGATTAGCTACTCTTTGATAGTCGAATGATAGTACAAGGAATTTAAAACATTTGACTTCTAAGAAAGAGAATCTTGTTCCTTTGATTTTACATTAATTTGTATAGGCAGAAAAAATGTATATTAAATTGTAATGCCCTATTATTTCTCTGGATTTATGCAAATTTCATTAAATAATTCATGTTTTATTATTATAGGCAATCCCTACTTAATATAATTTCTATATGCATGAATCTCAGTAACCATGTTTTAGTCAAATAACACCAGTTCCCGACAACTGAGTTCAAATTTCATTTAGTACAGTATAATAACTTCCAGTAATTGCATAAAGTATAAACTTTGCTGCTAGCTCCTCAGTCCATAAACCACTCTGTAAAAACTTATGTACATCATGATCATGATCAATCACATTGCTATTTTTAATAGTCTGTTGGTGATTGGTTACTATATATCTGTCATTCAGTTCACACACAGACAGCAAAGCATGTAGGTGTGTTTCCTCCTTGTCTCCTAGTGATAACGTGATATTTTACAAAAATGGATAATCAAAAGGAAATTGACCAAAAAAAGATGAAAGTGCAGCCAAGAAACAAAAGTGTAAATGCTCAAGTGAAATTCCAGTGAAGTGTAAGTGGAGTATAGAAGAAATAGCTGACTGTGGGAATGTTGACACTACTATTGAACTGCTGCCATTTAAGAGACTCCAGATGTACATCCAGAGGAGGTTAGGGAGGGTGAACTTATAGATATAAATGAAGAAAGTGAGGAGGTTGTGGTGAAAAGATGAATCCCCTTTCAGGGGAAGTGATCCTGGCAGAAAGTTCACATTAAAGGAACCCTTGGAGATATTTCATGATGTTGAAAATATAAAGGATAAAATGTTATAAACTAATCCAGATTTAGAAAAGTATGTACAGTTTATCAAGGTATAGAAAGATGCTCGCTGCATATTGTAAGTTATATGATGAGAAGTTATATGAGAAGACTAGTACTGTTAAGCCTACATTTATACCTGTCAATGGGAGAGTTTTTCATGTTTTGACAAAAAAATTGAAAGGTCACAGAATAATTACAACTTTTCCCATTGGTCACTAAGACTGCTTTGCACAGCTTAAGCTTGCATTATCAGTTACATGACCCCACATTACTGTGCAAAGCAAAGACTGCCTGTATACTAGCATGTGGCACTTCTAAGTTTTATATATATTTTAAAGTTTATGTATATTATTTATTTTGTTGCTTGAATATATTTTGATTTTAAAATACTTTTAGCATGCAGATATCCCAAACCTGAGATTGCCATTGTGAAGCGTGCGAAGGAGGTATCCTCAGCAGAGACCCCTGATAGTTTTGGTATAGTACAATCTTACAGTGTTGATTGCAAGTAGTGAAGCATCTATTTGGTGGAACTTCTTGCTTGTTTGAAATAGAATGCCTAATTTTTCTGTTTTTGCATTAGTGTTTTTGAGTGTCTGTATGATGGCATAATAACTGCATGCTCAACTAACTGAAGGATTAAATTTATAACTTTAAGAAAAGGCAAAATGTTTATATTTAATTATATTTAAATAGAATATTTAAAAATTGTTGAAATAACCATAGCAGGTAAAACATAAGAAGCAGCAAAGTCTGTGAATTTCTTTAGGACAAATGAATAGGAAAAAAGGGCCACACACAGGGAAACCTTCAGAATATATTGCAAAGAGAGACTATATTTTAGATTCAGCCACCATTCAGCTTGATCTCTAACTCAGGTTACATGCTACGGTGATGGTGGAAGTGTGTGTGTGTGTGTGTGAGAGAGAGGGAGAGAGAGAGTGTGTAGGGGTATGTTATGAAAGGGAGTGGTGAGAGAGAGAAAGATTAAAACAAATATCTCTCTGTTCCTGTTTTATTTATTTCTGATTACTATTTGATTTAGATACTTTGCCTACGAAGTATAACACAGTGTATGAAAGGGAGTCTGAAATATTTTGTGGACCAATTGAAATTTTTTTTTTTTTTTTTTTTTTTTTTGAGACGGAGTCTCGCTGTGTCGCCCAGGCTGGAGTGCAGTGGCGCGATCTCGGCTCACTGCAAGCTCCGCCTCCCGGGTTCACGCCATTCTCCCGCCTCAGCCTCCGAGTAGCTGGGACTACAGGCGCCCGCCACCACGCCCGGCTAGTTTTTTGTATTTTTAGTAGAGACGGGGTTTCACCATGTTAGCCAGGATGGTCTCGATCTCCTGACCTCGTGATCCACCCGCCTCGGCCTCCCAAAGTGCTGGGATTACAGGCTTGAGCCACCGCGCCCGGCCACCAATTGAAATTTTGTAGGGAGAAGAGTTAAATAAAACTCAGACTGCGTATAGGATGTCAGGCAAAAACAGCAAAAACTAAGCTGTAAGAACTTTAGAGAAATATAGGCGCATAGTGTGTTTACACACACACACACACACACGCACAGACATTGATGTATTAGTATGTTGTCTGCAAAAATACCCCAGTATACTCTTACTTTGCCACCTCCAATATTAAAAATTTTAAATCTGAGTTTGCATGTAGATGTTAAACATTTAATGCAAATGTATTTTGAAGAATAAAATGTTAATTTTGAAATATTCTGAAGATATTTTAATTAGCCCTCAAATACTTGATACTTATTCAAATTTATTCAAATAAAGCTCTTATTCTGTTAAGAATAAGATACTTATAGATTATAGCACACAGTATCACTAGGAGATCAGGTGCTGCTGAACAATAACTGATATAGGACTTACCTGTCAGTGCTCTTGCCTTTTGAGACTCAGTATTTGGTTACATCCCTACTTAAAGTAGTATGCTTCTTTATGAATGTTTAGGTGGTACCTCTTGTGAAAGGATCACGAGGACCTGAACTCATTTTTTGTAACATAAAACTAAGACCCCGAGGGCTTGTAACCTGCTGAAGATTTAGTGACTAATTATATATCAGAGTAGGTATTTGTGTTAGGGCTTTTGGGTTTTTAGTTCAGTTCTGTTTTTCACTCTAATACATTTCTTCAGTGTTAGCAGTGAATTAGCCCTAGGCTATGGTATCCAGTTGTTTTGGAACCATGTAATAGTTTCCAGTGGTTCTGAAACCATCCAGCAGAAACCACCTAATACTTCCACTCAAAAAACATTTTATTTGGTAACTATAATGTATCATTTGATTTTTCTCCTGTTTATTTTAACTTCATGTTTTTTTTTTTTTAAATGTATCTGAAGGGAATTACATTTTATGAGAGGGGAAAAAAGCAGTTTGGAAAGGATATTAGTATTTTAGCTAATTGCAGTTTTATTTCAAGTACTAATGAATAACCAGTGTTTTGACAATGTTTTATATATGCACATATGATTGATTCTTGGTTCTTCCGTGTTTTTCTATTGAGAATGTATTAATTGAATGAGAAGTAGAATGGGAAAATGAGAATCTGAGTTCTGGAGCTTGCTGTGTGTCTTTGAGTAAGTCACTTAACATCTCTGGGCCTAAGTGGCTACATCTTCAAAGTGGAGAATTAAGTCAGTATTTCACAGTGAGTGTGCTTCTGGTATTTGAGCTGGCTAATTCTTCATTATGAAGGACTCTGTTGCGCATTGTAGGAAGTTTAGAATCCTTAATGCTGGTGGTAACATTTCCCAGTCATTATCATATCCCAAACAACCCTGCATATGTAAACCTCTTCTGGGGGGAGGGACCACTTCATATTGAGAACTACTGTCAAGTGGTCTCTAAGAATTCTTTCAGCTTCAACATTCGGTGAAAGAATTCTTATTTGGGGCATGATTGAAAGGGAAGAAGGTAATATATCATACACCGAAAAACCTCTGCTGCTTCTTAGATATGAAACGATTTTATTTTAAAATGAATATATTTTGCATGTCTGTGTAGCCCTCCTCACAGATCTACCATTTATGATGTTCCAAAATAAATTATTTTATTCTAGCTTGCCCTAGGCTTTTTCTTTACAGTATTATCCATAGCTATATGATTTTTTAAACTAAAAGTTGTATAGTACCATCTCTATATCTAATAAGTAAAAGCAACAAGATTATTTTTTAAGTTGTACTATTGTTTTAATATCTTAGCCTTTAAAAAAGGAATATCATTGTATATAGTAATTATTTTTTTATCTTTCATAGGCATAAAGGAAGGGAAGGAATATAATTTCTGTGTTTAGAAATATATATAGTTGTTGAAGTACGCAAGTTATTTGTGTAAAACCACAGATCAGTAGTATATCTGATTATCCTAAAAAAAAAAAAAAAAAACTACCAGGAAATGCAATAAGAAAAATAATTTATTGGCCAGGCACAGTGGCTCATGCCTGTAATCCCAGCACTTTGGGAGGCCAAGGTGGGTGGATCACCTAAGGTCAGGAGGTTTAGACCAGCCTGACCAACACGGATAAACCCCGTCTCTACTAAAAATACAAAATTAGCCAGGTGTGGTGGCGCATGCCTCTAATCCCAGCTACTTGGGAGGCTGAGGCAGGAGAATCGCTTGAACCCGGGAGGTGGAGGTTTCGGTGAGCCAAGATCACGCCATTGCACTCTAGCCTGGGCAACAAGAATGAAACTCCATCTCAAAAAAAAAAAAAAGAAAAATTATTGTACCTCTAGTACTTACTATTACTTTAGTCAGAGTTAAATAGTTAATAAGGATGGTGCATTAATATGGTTGATAAAGGTGATGATTAATTGAGTACCATAGTTATCTTCGTGATTGCTTATGGCCAACTCCTGTCCTCAACTGTTATACCACTGGCCTCCACCAGTCTGAAATTCATTAGTTACTTCTAGGTAACAGGTTGCAGTGAAGTCCCAGGTCGCATGGTAAGTTCCCTGGAAGGTTAACAACGTGACAGTTTTAGTTCTTTTATTTACTTATTGATTTAATTAAAAATATCAATAGTCTTTGGGGGTGCAAGTAGTTTGTAGTTACCTGCATGAATTGTGTAGTGATGAAGTCTGGGCTTTTGCTGTACCTATCACCTGAACAGTGTATGTTGTACCCAATAGGTAATTTTTTGTCTCTCACCTTTCTCTTGCCTCTTCCATACTAAGTCTCCAATTTCCATTACAGTATTAGTTTTTATAAGACATAAGTAGAAATTTCTTTTCTACGTAATGTATATGTTGCAGTAATTACTTTTAAATGCTAAATAAAATTACAAGATTACACTCAAATGCCTTTATGGGTTTTACGTAAGACACATATATTTAGAAATAATTTAAAAGTCCTTTTACAATTAAAATTTCTGTTTAAAGAGATAGGTTAATTAAAATCTACTAAATTAAAAGTTAAGCTTTGCTATTTCTGAAGAGCTTAACTTTAGAAAGCTTAACATTCATTTTTCAATTTTGAATGTCAGGTTTTGTAAGTATATAACTTGACCATATTAATTTGTTTCTTTTTTAAAAAAAAACACTGCCGTGTTGCTTTATAAACCGCTTTTGGTGCATGTTAGACTTGTTGGCATTTGATTTGCTTAAATTATTTTGCTTACAGCATGGTTTGCATTTTAAGTTTGTATTCTTTAATATGTTGTATTTTTATTGTAAATTTTACCTTACCCATTTGAACCTTTGGTTCTATTGAAGGACTAAGCAGTTATTCATAATGTTCAGAATTATGGGTAACTGAGACTCTTGGTCCCCAAATTGTTGCTGAAACTCACTAGTTTAATATTTATTATTTTCATAAATCTTCTAATTAGGCCAGACTGTGATTTGTGTTGCCATGTCTACTTCCTGTACTTTTTTGGGAAAGATATTGGGGTGAGTTTGGAATAAATATTAGGTGGTCAAAGATCAGAAACTGCATAATTAGACACTTAAAGAATACTGAGTTATTTGTAATAAAGGAATAGTATATGCATTAAACCGTTCCTTTTCTGTCATCTCAGGGTGAAGCTGCTTTGATACTTTTCTTACTAAGTTTATTATAAATGACTTGGATTTTTCCTTTCATTTATGATTTTATATTGCTTTTCACATACGTGATAATAGGCTGAAATATCACATTAAGAATCATGATTTCCATGAAAGCATAATAAGAAAAAATAGACTAGGAAATAAGACTGTTTGTTTTTCAGATTTTCTTTTATTTCAAGTATGGATTTGCACACCTTTTAAAGTGTGTGCTATAGTTTGGCTCTGTGTCCTCACCCAAATCTCATGTCACATTGTAATCCCCACGTGTCGAGGGAGGGACCTGGTAGGAAGTGATTGGATCATGGGGGCGGTTTCTCCCATGCTGTTCTCATAATAGTGAGGAAGTTCTCACGAGATCTGATGGTTTTAAAAGTGGCAGTTTTCCCTGCATGCCATGTCTCTCCTGCTGCCATGTAA